AAACATGAAAAATGCTCAGTAGTGCTAATCATCAGGGAAATGCAAATCAAAACCACAATTAGATATCATCTCACCCCACTTAGAATGGCTATCATCAAAAAGACAAAAAATAACAAATGTTGACAAGAATGCAGAGAAAAGGGAACTCTTATATGCTGTTGGTGAGAACTTAAGTTAGTACAACCATTATGTGTACTGTGAGAAGGTTTCTCAAAAACTGAAAATAGAATATATAATATAGCAATCCCACTACAGGGCATTTCTCCAATGGAAAGGAAATCAGTATATCAAAGGGATACCTACACCCCTAAGTTTATTGCAGCATTATTCACAACAGCTAAGATATGGAATCAGCCTAAATGTCCATCAACAGACAAATAAGGAAAACACAGATACATGTAAACAATGGAATACTATTCAGCCATAAGAAAGAATGAAATCCTGTTATTCATAACAACATAGATGAGACTGGAGGACATTATATTAAGCAAAATAAGTCAGGCACAGAAGGATAAATACTATGTTCTTTCATAAGTGAGAGCTAAAAAAAATTGAGCTCATGGAAGTAGAGAGTAGAACGGTAGGTATTAGAGGCTGGGAAGGGTGAGAGATAGAGGAGGATGGAAAGAGGTTGATTAATAAATACAAAAGCTAGACAGGAGGAGTAAGCACTGATATTCTGCAGCACTGTAGAGTGAATATGTTTAACTATAATTTATTGTATCTTTTCAAAAAGCTAGAAGAGAGGATTTCAGTGTTTACAACACAGATAATAAATGGTGATGGGTATGATAATTACCTTGATTTGATCATTACACATTGTATAAACATGTCAAAATATCACTGTTCCATAAATATATATAATTATTTACATATCAACTAAGAATAAAAGGGAGAAAATATAAAAATGTACTCACAGTTCTCAATAAATATAAAAATATCTAAATGAATCTTCCTAGCAATACAGTTGGCCTGTATGGAGGAAAGTAGTAACATTTTCTAAAGGACATAAAATGATATTTGAGTAAATGTCAGAACAAGAAACATATACAACTAGAGCCAGGTTTGTAAATACATACATACATGTGGTACAAATGCATTGAATGAGGGTGCATCTCAATTTGTAACAACAGGTCTTGAATGGGATTAGCAAAGACGGAATGGATATTTACTTTTGGTCACATTCTTTTTAAAGAGCATGTATTTGTGTATAAATGATATAAAAATCCTTACAAAAGAATGTGGACTTACATTTTTAAAAGTTGGTGGTTCTATACTATGCCCCAAAATATGCTTGCAAGTATCTATATATATTTATATATATAATGCAATATTATAATTCCTTTCTCTTTATCAGAACATGGTAAAGCAAATGAAGTGTGCTCCATCTATTTCCCACTGCCTGGGTTGTTGGTTTTAATCAAAATGAGGAACTTCAGGGCCTTAAGGAGATTTTCTCATCCTAAGTGCTAATAGTTGTTTGTGGCTCAGTATTATCCAGACCTGGTGAAAATAGTTTTGGTATTTAAAAAAAAAAAAAGTAAATATTTCTCTAACTCATTTTCTACGTGAAGAATAAATCTTGACTTTGTAGAATCATAACTTATAAGTCATTAAATAACTTGGGCCAAAGCAGCATCACAAAGGAGAACACTGGCTCAGCCAGCCTTGTGGTTATTCCTGGCTTATTGCGCATTTGCTGTGAGAGGGAACATCGCCACGGAACAAGGTACCCAGATAGCTTTCCAGATAGTGGAGAAGATGCAGTCATCTCCATTGCCTGCTGGCATTGGAGTTTCTGTAACTGCTCTCTGTTCTCATTTGATCTTTAATTAGCCTATCTCGTATCATGTATGACTTGTAAGACAACTAAGGTACACACTCAGAAGGTTGACGTGGAATCTTCAAATAAGATTACTCAGCAGATGTAAGTGGAACATTTCCATCTCCTTTTCGCAGTGAGCAGCCTTTGCTGTTATATCCCTCTGCATGTGGTCAGATATAGCTATCTCTGATACATCCTGCGAATAACAATGCCAGCTTATTATGGGATTTCTCACCTCTGAATTTCTACAGGGTTTGCTGTCTGTAATACACAGGCTCACACTGGTGGCTCTAGCAGATTCTTACGTGAAGAGTCAGGGAGAACTAGTGTCTCCCCCAGAGTGTCTGACTCAGGACTGGGCACTAGGAGGCTTAATAAGGCAGGCAATGGAGAGAAAAGAAGGAAGAAGGGTATAGGTCTGCCTTATCTCCCAAATTAGATTGTCAGCTTCTCAGCCCAGAGACCATATCCTTTTTCCTATCTCCTTTAATACTTAGTAGAATATTAGGCAAACATTGAGTATGCAGTTCATGCTTATGGCCTAAGGTTTTATTTAATTCATAGATTATCTCGAAAAGATACTATTTCCATTCACTTGAACTTAATACAGCCCAAAATAAGTAGCATTTTCTGTAAATGTTATTGAAATTTTATTTACAATGAATTGAAGGTATCTCTAAATTAGTTTTAAATGGGCCTCTCAGAACTATAATCCTCATTTCAGAGGACAAATCTCTAAGCTGGAGGTACGATGAAGACAGTAATGACAGCAGAAGTACATGTAGTTGTAAAACATAGGTATTATAAGGAAAGTACTGACAATGAAATCCCATAGATGACTAAAATGCTACAGTGAATAAAAACTCTTTCTGACCAAGGGTAGTGGCATTTGGCCCACTAAGGTTGGAAGGTGCATGCTATGGTGCCATTGTACCTCTGTCAAAAAGTCAGTTTAAAAAAAAATCAGTTGGCTATTATGTATGGATCTCTTTCTAGATCTTCCCTCTATTCTGTTCAATTGAGCTATATGTTGTTTACCAATATCAAACTGTATTGATAACTATAGTTTTCTAGTAGGATTTGAAATCAGGTTAGGCAAGTCCTTCAACTTTGTACATCTCTCTTAAAATTACTTTATCATAGAACCCTTGCATTTCCATATACATTTTAGAGTCAGCTTATCTGGTTCTACAAAGATATGTTATAATTTTGATTGGGGATATTTTAAAAATTACTTTAAGAATTGCTGTCGTGATATTGACTCTTCATGGATAGGGATATTGTTCCATTTATTTACATATTTATGATTTTTTTCAGTCAAGTTTTATACTTTTAAGTGTAAGAACTTAGTTGTCTTTTGCTAGATTTATTGTAGATATTCGCCTTATTGGTGCTCCTGTAAATGGAATTTGTTACATTTTCCAATTATTTGCTGCTCACATACTTTTTCGTATATTAATCTTTTCTTATAACCTTGCTAAATTCATTTATTATTATAGTTCTTGTTATAAAAATTCCTTGAGCTTTTCTTTTGGATCAGATCACCAAATAATTTTATTTCTTCTTTTATGTCTTAGTTCAAAGACTAGGACCTCCAGAACAGAGATCCCTTTGAATATAAGTGTCGAAAGCAGGCATCTTTGTCTTTATCTCAGTGGAAAACAATTTAGTCTTTCACCATTAAGTGTGATGTGATTGAATTTTTTGCATATGTCCTTTGTCAGGTTGAAAAAGTTCCTTAGTTGAGAGTTTTATCATGAACGGGTGTTGAAAATGCTTTTTCTGCATCGATTGGAATTATCACCTGTTTTCCTCCTACATTCTGTTAGACTAGTGAATATCACTGATTACTTTTCAAATGTTAAACCAACCTTGCATTACTAGAATAAGCTCCACTTGATCATGATGTGTTACCCTTTTTATATACAGCAATCTGTACCCATAGATTCCACCAATCAAAGATAGAAAATATTTTGGGGGGAAAAATGGATGGTTGTGTCTGCACAGAACCTGTACAAATTTTTTCCTTGTCACTGTTCCCTGAACAATACAATAATTGTTTACATTGTATTAGGTATTATAAGTAATTTAGAGATGATTTAAAGTATACAGGAGGGTGTGAGTAGGTTATATACAAATATTGTGCCATTTTATATCAGGGACTTGAGCATACTCAGACTTTGCTATCCAAGGGAAGTTCTGGAACAATCCCACATGGTATACTAAGGGACAACTATATATGAATTTGATTATTGAATGTGCCCCCCCTCTAGAATTAGGTTTTTTGTTTTGTTCACTGCTGTATTCCATGGCAGAAAAGAGTGATCAGGAAAGACCTCTCTGAGAGAGGGAATTGGGGATACGAATGAATGAAGAGGAGCCAGCTATGCAAAAGTATAGGAGAACATTCCAGACAAAGGGAATGGCTAAGTGCAGAGGCTCTATGGTGGAAACAAGCTTGCCTCATTAGGGAATTCATCTTGGAGAGGAGAAAAAGCACAGTATGGCTGAGATATAGTAAATGATGGGGAGAGTGAAACAAGATGAGGTCAGAGACATGGCCAGATTATAATGCACTGCTGCAGATACAGTAGAACAAGAGCTGCCAACCTGTCTAGCACTTGAGCCATTTTCTGCCCTTTGGGAGGCTCTAGGGTAGTCTTTCAATAGCTACCAGCCACATGCAGGTATTTAAAAGTATATAAAATGAAAAATTCAGTTGCTTAGTCACACTAGTCACATTGCAGGTGTCCAATAGCACATGTGGCAAATGGCTACCTCATTGGACAGCACAGATAGAGAACATTTCATCATCGCAAAAAGTGCTGCTGGGAAATGCTGCCATAAGAAAGCCAGTCAAAGGAGAAGTAATGCCAAGTTTGCTTAGCCTTTCTTCTGTGATGTTCTCTTTTAACCCTAGAATCAGTGTTTTTCTACTTAAATTGAAATATACACGGTGCCTAGAAAACCAGCATGTGGCCTGTTCCATGTGCAATTGCTCTTATGGATGATTTTTACCTATGACAGAAAAGATAGGAAGGACTGGTAAATCACAAGCATTAACCTCATTATAAATACATTGCAAATGTAAAAACGCAAAGTGTGAAAGTTATAAATGTGAAAACGGCTTTTATTTCTTTTAATAGGTGTTTTTCTATGTCTTATTGTAACCTAGGGACCTTGCTGCAAGAAACTGCCTAGTAGGTGAAAATAATGTTCTGAAAATCAGTGACTTTGGAATGTCTCGTCAGGAGGATGGTGGAGTATATTCATCTTCTGGCTTAAAACAGATTCCCATTAAATGGACAGCACCAGAAGCTCTTAATTATGGTAAGAATAAACTGGTTTCCTTTTTTGGTGGTAAAAACAGATTGTATCAGCACAAAACATTCATAAGCAATATTATAGGGGTAGAACATAACCATTTGAGGATCAATACAAATGATGAGTAAATATTCATACCTATCAGCACAAACTTAATTCATTGAATTATTGATCAGATTTCCATATGTAAGATTGCTAGATTAAAAAGGTGGATATTATACTTATAAGTACTTTTAAATATGACTATATATCAGAGAATTTTTCATTTTATCCCAAAAAGGATTATTTTTACTTGTCGGATTATACACGTGTAAAAGTAGCTCTGGACCATTTCTTTTGAATGTCTTATAATTAGTCTAATAATCTCTTCTAATGTTAGGTTCCTAAAATGTTAAGTCAATTCTTTAGTTTCTCACTCTGAAATCGATATGGGGTTTCTTTGAATATCAGTCTCTGGAACTGGTATAAATCTTGAGGAAAAAGGAGATGGTAATTACATTTTAAAACAGCACGGATTTTTCACTTGAATTTTCATGTATCATTATAATTGGAAATAAATACAGCTTGCATTATCTGTGGTTGGGATGAAATGGGCCAAAACAAGATGAATAATAGCTCAAGAATTTAGGGGGGAGACCAGAGTATGCTTTAAGTGAAATTAGAAATTCCATTGTCATTAAGGTAAACAGCATATGAGCCATGAATTGGTGAGTGGGTATGGTATGTTTTTGAATAAAAATATCATAAAATGATTCTTTGATTTAAAGTGAAAAATTACTTCATCATGAAAAATGATTTTTAATTTAGGCATTAAGTTAAAGCAGTTATAAATGCCTTAAATAAAAAACAAATTTTTTTCCTAATTGAGGTAAAATTCATATACCATAAAATTAACCATTTTAAAGTGAAAAATTTAGTGGCATTTAGTACAATTCACAATGTGGTACGACCAATACCTCTAACTAGTTCCAAAACATTTCCATCACTCCAAAATAAAACCCTGTACCCATGAAGCATTCTCCCCTGCCGCCCCCCCTTCTCCCAGCAGCCACCAATCTGCTTTTTGTTTCTGTGGATATATTTATTCTGGATATTTCATATATAATACATGGTCTCTTGCAGTTGGCTTCTTTCACTTAGCATAATGTTTTTAAGGTTCATCCATGTTGTAATATGTATCAGTACTTCATTCTTTTTAGGACTGAATATTACTCCATTGTATGGATGTACCACAATGTGTTTATTCATTCATCTGTTGTATTATATTTGAGCAGTTTTCAGTTATTCTGGCTATACACTAGACATTATGTGGTAACTTTATGTTGAGCCTTTTGAGGAAGTACTAATACCGTATTTTTTTCTGGATAAAGCTTTTGAATGTAAGTGGTTTGGAAGTTGATTGTGGCTGGTACAGATACCCCAAGATACTAATCCTCACCCTTTGCTTATCTTCCTGTGTACTAGCAAGAGAGGTTTTTGTGAGCCTTCTTCTGATTGCAATCCAATTCCACTATTCCTCAGAAAACAGCAGACCTGCTATTTTTCATAACAGTTTTTCTTTGGGGTGGTCATATTACTCTATGGTAGGATTACATTACTAAGGGGAACAGTGATAGGATAAAAGACAGGATTGTAACACTTAGATTTACACAGAAGGTTTTTCAGCACCCAAGAGAGAGATAACTGGATTTAGGAGTCCCTAAAGTCTTACCAGTAAAATCCAGCCTTCTAGAATTTGTTCTTAACCCACTTTGCCAGATTCTCTACATTATGTAGACATTAAAAGTCCCCTTACTATTAAGCAATTATGCAAGTAAAAGTCTGCCTCTCTTTCACAGTGTGCTTTAGTTGAATTTCAAGCTGACTAAAGCACTATATTTATAAATTGAAGTTCTAATTCTGAATACCTCTAACAGACCTAAGTAAAGCATTTTGTTAGCAGTGAGGGACATTTTTTTTAGCAGTCTTTATTATTATTTGTAATTTTATGAAACACAACAATTTATATAAGGAAGAGGAAGAAATTATAGTGGTGGATGAGGGAGAAGTTTGTAGTATATTATCCAGTCCCATGAGGGAGTTTCTAAAAGAATCTGTCAGCTTTCTCATAGCAACCTTGAGAAGTAGTTTTAGTTCTCACAGACTAAAATTACTAATGATTGGCCTTAAATCCTAGCATTTTTTAACAAGAGGAAATATCTTATGAAAGTCGTTATTTCTGGTTACTTCTTTCATGTTTTATATAAATAATTGATGGTAAGATTTTGCCTCATTTCCAAGGGTGTTTTCCACTGATTTTCTTCATTCTTGCCTCAGAATAGGTAAAATGCTACTCAAATCTCCCATCAAGTGTGGGGTCAGGGAAGATGAAAGAAACCTCCCTGAAACTTTGTGTTAGGGCCATAGAATTAAACTTACTGTTGTTATTTAATTTTTTTAAAGATGCATATATGTGCTTAAAAAAAAAATCAAGCAGTACTAAAGGGCCTACAATGAAATGTAAGCTCCTCCCCAACCCATCTCTAGCCACAGAATTCCCCTTCCTAGAGGCAGATACTCTTATCATATTCTCATACCGTTCTCATAAATGGCTGAGAATAAGTACTCTAAAATGGGAAGGAGTCAGGATTTTTAGTGAAAAGAGTCTCACATCACTCATCAGGAGATTTCCTAATTAGGTCATTAGCTAATGACCTTGACAAGCCATCCACTGCTCTGTATCTACCTTTCTTAATTTGTAACATGAGGATGATAGTACATTTTCCCTGCAGGATATTGTGAGGATCAAATGAGACAGGGCAAAGTAGCAAAATGCTATATACAACTATAAGTTACTCTTGGCCAGTTAACATTATCCAGCAAAACCAGGTTCAAAGGTCAGGATCATAAGTTTTCACGTCTGAAGTGCGATCTTGGTTTACTTCTTGATCTCTGCCCAGATGTTACCTCACAAAGTAAGATATTTGACAACTCATACTTTCTCAAAGTACAACTTATACTTTCTTAAAGAATTAGTTTCAACTTGTAGCCATTGAATGACTTTCATGAAAAGTATTAAATTATTGGATGCCAAACATGAAAAGAGTTGATATCCAGACAAGAAAGTTAATGTTCTTACCAAACAGCATAGTGAATGTCCATAATTACTGTCTACTAAGAAGGAAGCTAATTCACACAGCTGGAGCTGATCATCAGTGAGTCCACTCCAAACTCTGACGTCAAAGCAGTTATCATAGTGCAGCCACAACTCTTGTTTTCATTTTACGTACCTTTTTTAAGAAACGGAAAAGGCCATCCTATTTTAAAGCAATACCACATTTTTAAAGGAGGGGCATTTACAAATTCTGGAGTTAAGGCAGGAAGCTACAAGAGGGAGAGAAAATGAAATCATTTAAGAAGACTTTTACACCACTGCAAATGGAATTTAGTTATGATAATATATGCCCTATATGTAAAAGTAAATGTAAGTATGTTAAAAACATCTAGGAAACTCTTAGCCTCTTGGACAGGCTAGATATTAGAAAGGATTTTTCTGCTTCCCCTTTCTTGATTTCACATCCATCTCTAGAAAACATCTTGTATTGGGGTTTTTATCTCTATGCTTCTCTAGAAAACTACCCCCAAAATTCTAAGAGCTTAGCTCACGTAGCTCAGTAAAACAGGTGCACCAAGATATTTTGACAAAACAAGGCACCATGTAATTTAAGGAAGTTGTTTTTATCAGCCGGCTATGTTAATTTCCACTCTATTCAAAACACACAGAAAAATATATTTTCCATAAATGAAACTATCAGTGGAGAAAATGAGACCTTTAAGCATGTAAGAATATCTGTAAACAGTGATGAGTAAAAAATTGAAGTTAAGGAACTTTCCTTATTGCTTTAAGTTTGTTTGTAATTTTAGAGGAAAGAAAATGATGCAGGCAGAAGACAAAATTGCAGGAATCCAACTTATTTAATCTCCTAGGCGTTGACGTGTACAAATGTATATCTTTTTTCATATAAACCAACCATCTCATTCAGATGCTACAGGGAAAGTAAGCTTGTATGCTAGCTGAATATTTGTTCATGGGCACAGGGGAGTCAGGAGGGAATGATCTGGAAGCTAGTTTGATTAAACTAGTAGCCTGAAGACTGTTCATTTAATTGGTAATATTACTAGTCCTGGAATGTAAAACCACGTAGAGAACAGGAAGACTAGCCATTGAGTTCCTTTGGCAAGTTTTAATACAATCATGCACCACTTACCTACATTCTGAGAAATGTGTCATTAGGCCATTTCCTATTGTGTGAATATAGAGGGTACTTACACAACCCCAGATGGTGTTCTCTACTACACACCTAGGCTGTCTGATACGGCCTGTTGCTCCTAGGCTGCAAACCTGCACAGCATGTTACTGTACTGAATACTGTAGACAATTGGAACACAATGGTAAGTATTTGGGTATCTAAACATAGAGAAGGTAATGCATTGCTCTATGATGTTAGGGTGGCTATGATGTCAGTAGGTGATAGGAGCTTTTCAGTTCTATTGTCATCTTACGGGACTACTACATGTGGTCCATCACTGACCAAAATGTCGCTATGTGGCACGTGACTGCATGTTAATGTGTAACTGACATAGACATATATAACCAGAAAGGGCCACCTACTTGTCCTCTGTCCCTCACCTGCTCATGGTGGTTGTTCCCCTTCCAGGGAGATACAGTTTTGAGAGTGATGTGTGGAGCTTTGGCATCCTCCTCTGGGAGACCTTCAGCTTAGGGGTCTGTCCATACCCTGGAATGACAAATCAACAAGCAAGAGAGCAAGTGGAAAGAGGTGAGCCGAAGACATGGGTGGTTAGTGTTCACATCCAGCCCCGGGGCAGGCAGTGTGTGTATGTGGGGAGGGGGGTTACATACTATTGGGGTACATAAGTAGAGAGCAGAGATGTTAGATAACTCTGCTTTTGAACCCCATGGAAGATCGTATACAACAAAAACAAACACACATTTTAAAGGATTCCAACACTTTAAAAGTAGAGAGCTACAGGGTTTTCTTCTGTCCCTTCCCTGCCTGGCATGGCATCTTCAGCACTGTGCCATTTACTATCTTCAAGGGAAGTAGTTAGGCTAGTGTTCCTCAACCTCTTATCGTTTACTCTACCCTAAGTAAACCCCCTAATAATATTGCAAATTGAAATGTAGGTAGTCGTCAGGGAGTTTTTGAGACTTTTATAGCACTTTTGAAGAAACACTGTGGTCTCAGATCAGAGATGGGAATAACTAGTTAATGATGACACTCCTGTAATCCACAGTTGGAACAAGAATGCTCTCCACAAAATGGCGGTACTCTAACATCTGGCCCCCTGAGAGGGGCATGATTGTAGAATCAGGTACTAGAGGATGCCTTTGTAATTTCCTCCCTACCTTCCACACCCATCTGTACACACAGTGCCGGGAATATGAATGTGATTCATATTCATTTTTATTTCACTATTGAATTAGTGTTTATAAAACACCTCACCTCTTCATCTAGAAAAATAAGTTGTAGGGATGATTTATTAAAACTCTGCCCACAGCAACTAATTCTGAAAGCAAATATTGGAGCAACTAAAATATGCATTTGTATATGCTGTATCTCACATCAGACTTTCTGACAAAGGAACAAAAACAGATGTTCTTTAAACTAGAATGTAAGTCAATGGCTCTATAATATTGAATTCCACGTCAGTGTGCCCTGAAATGGATTTTTTGTTTCTATATATCTGTAAACTAAGGTATTAAAATTTAAAAACTGCATAGTGCCCTGTGTGACTATTTAAATCTTCTCTCCATTCTAAATTCTATGTTCTTCTTCTCTTGGGTCTTCAGGATACCGGATGTCAGCACCCCAGCACTGTCCAGAAGATATTTCTAAAATTATGATGAAATGCTGGGATTATAAGCCTGAAAACCGCCCTAAGTTCAGTGATCTTCAGAAAGAGCTCACTGTCATCAAGAGAAAAATCACACAGTAACAGAACAGTGCGACACTCAGCCTTCAGGACTCTGTCCTCCAGTAGATTAATATTGTTGTTCTCATTAACCATGAGTTGATGCCACGTTACCTGCAACAGTCTTCTAAGGTTATTTTTTATTAACTGGGTTTTTAAAAATATGTTCTACTTAAAAAATGTCAAAAGGCGAATTTGTTAAAGAAATAGCCCTGCCAAGAGCTTTATTAGCTAAATCCTGCCATTTCATTTCCATTGCAAATAGAAAAACACAGGCTCTAAATGTGTGAAGGATAAAAGATCCGTCTTTTTCACACCCAGGACTATTGATGTTCCTACTTTTGGCACAGCTTGTGGGCTGCTGTCCTGTTCCACAGACCCTACCCAATTGGTGCTATAAACTGCATTGGTAATGCCCTGTTTGCAGGACACGTTCCAACCACAGTTGGCTTTCTACTCTGCTAAGGCAAGATTATATTTGTAAACGTCATTTTATATGGGAAATTATTTGGACCTCCTAGGGTTTTCTTTTCTTTCTTGCCAGAAATAAGCCTAGTATAAGAATCATCGTGCTATTGCATTATTAGTAAACTTGTCATTTTCCTCCTTTGTCTGGGCATCAGAAAATAATACATGCAATGTCCTCAAAGAACACACTGTTAAGAGTTGAGGCAGCTTCTTTTAACGGGTGTTAGTGCTGTGACAGCAAGAAGCAAGTTTGAACAAGAGAGTGGTCTGGAGAAAAGACCAGCTAGAATGGTGATCAAAGTAGAAAATATAAAATCCACCTTTTTATGAGAGTTATTATGCCTTTATAAACACACATGTCCCTTTATGGTCCGAATTCAGCAAAAAGGTCCTAAGAAATGTTTCGGGAGTTCATAGAGCAAGCCCTCTTAATAGCAGTAAAATTTTTTAGAGAAAATCCACAGAAATAACAGCATAATTCTAGTCAAGTATCTTCACCTTAGTGGAGGCATCCCAAAATGTAATCACCTTCATTTGTACCAGTTTCCAGAGCTGTCAGAATTTCGTGATTCTATTTTCATGTGCGTGTACACACCACCAGGGTGCAAGGCAGATGTGAATGAAGTCGAGTATTAATGAGGGAGACAACATGGGGACAGCCCTCCCATCTCCACTGCCCACCTTCACTGACCCTTACCCTGCTCCCTGGACATTGTTAGCATCATTAGCTGCCAGTTAGATAAGCACAGTGCTGAAGATCTCTCCTGCCGATAAAACGTGGCATAGTTAAAACAAGGATCTGCTGAGCCGAATCTAAGCTGGACCCAGGGAACTTACCCCATGATCTGTAGATAGTTGCCTCTCAGGATAAATACGTGTGTGGGAGATGATCCTGCTCAGGGGTGAATGTGGCCTGGAAGCCTTTAATAAATTCTCAGGCCTGTGTGTCCAGATAAATATCACCTTGAGTATTTGGTCTGTGTTCATTGAAAGATCTTAGAACAGAAAATTCCTCCTGCCCTTTCCAGCTGTTTGCCTCCCCTGAATATCATTGTGCAGAACTCCCACAGGTACTTTAAAGAGTATAAAAAGGACAATACTGAAGAGAAAAATGACTTGTGTCTATCATTTCAATCTCCTTGCAGATTTTATGCACATTTAATGATTAGTACCATTCAGACTAAAATGAAAGCATCATAAACTTCTCCTCAAAAAATATATTTGCAACATACAAAGCAACTTCTTTTTAATCAGCATAGTTTTCCTTGATGTCAAATATTATAAATAAATGGAACTTTCTTTTGATGGAGCATACTATGCTAAATCAAAGCACAGACTCATGAATTAAGATAAAGTGCTGTGGTCTTCAGGCACTTGCCAGCCTTCAAAAGTAAGAATAATATGGGACATTTCTACCCTTTTGTCAGTATTACCCAGTGAATCTCTGTTTGCAATATTCTTTGTCTGTTTAAAGAAAACAGTCTCCTATCACTTAGTGGCCTCACGCTAAGCTCTCAGCAAGGAGAAAGAATGATGGTTGTGGCTTTAATATTGTGAACAAGACCTAAAGCTTAATCCTTGCATTCTTCTGGTGTAAGGAATGAACACAGAATTGATATTTCACTCATCCAGGCTGTTAGAATTTGCAATTCACATCATAACTCTGTGCTTAAATTTAAAAAGCTTTTCAAAACATCATGACATCTGCAGCATTTAAATTCTATTTTATTTTTTGTCCCAAAGCAGGCAGTGGTATAGTTCAAGATTAATAACTCATTGGGAGTCTTTCAGGCTATCAGCTGTATAGAATATTAAATTTTATATAGGTACATGCATTAGGAAAAACTTATGCAAACCATTTTTACTGTTAATTTTGTTGTGCTTGAAGTATAATTTATTCATCCCTTCTGTCACTGATAATTATTGGAATTATGTACTTTAGGAGGCTAATCCATATCCAAAACCACACATATAAATACTGCTTTGAATTTGCAAGTTGATGCAGGGAAAGAAAGCTTCAGAAATGCACAAAATCCTATGACTTGTTTAGCAAGAACGCAGTTGTAATGCATTTGGAAAATCCAAAATTTCCACTGGTCTGAATGTAATTAAGTCCAGTCACAAATCTTTTTGTGGTTGATGGATTATCTAAGAGTTTCATATATCACTACTGTATAGTTCCTCTCTCATAATTCTTTAAATTTATTAATATGAGAGAAGAGAGTTAAATGTAAACAGTCTGTATCTCACCTGCATTTTTCTACCTTGAACCACCAAAGAGCCTTTATGAGAAACATTTAGGTAGTTCATCATTTTTCAAGGAAAGACATTTTTCAATGTCAAATTAACATTTATTACCAACATGTGAAAACTAAAATTAATTTTATATTCCATGTAATCTAAGGTTACTTCCGAAAGCCAACATATTCTTTCTCTTCCAGAAAAATAATAATAAAGGATTAGCAGGTTTTATGTAAACTTTCAGAAACTGAGGATTTCAGTCCATCCTGCCACTAGGTCCCTAGTGAAAGGTCTCATGTAATTATTTCTCTTTTATCTCCCAAATTTAATATGGGCAATAAAATTCCCCTTCCATAATTCACCATTTATCATAAATACAATAGTATTGAAACATCTTACTAGCAGATCAGTGTAGATCAAGAACATAACTGGGTCAGGTATTGTTCAACATAGATTTCCCAATTGTTGTTCATTTTATGGTTATTTTGAAAAGAAAACAATGTTTTGTCATTGAAATAGTTTTAACTTCCTTTAAGCCATGATATGGTTTTCCTGTCTATCTGATATTAATTTCACTTTTACCATATAGTTTTATAATGTTTGGTTAGTACCACTAAAATAACTTCACAATACTGGTATTTGTGTTCAGAAGAAAATGTTTTAGCTATGATATATGCCACACACTGAGGACCTTGTAGTAGGATAAACAATCAGAATGCAACAATATAAATATCTGGATCATACACCACTTTTGTCCAAGATTATCCCAGTTACACCACTTTATTATTGATTCTTGTGAGTCATCAGTAGTTTTGAGAGTATACCCGAAAACCTCAATTAGTATACTCTGTGTACATTGTGGCCACGTGTCCTTTGAAGATTGATATTTTCTGAAGAGCTTGTTTCCCTCAGCCCTCTCCTTTTTACACATGCTGACTTTATCACACCATTGATACTTTAAATGGTTCTTATCAGAATTGGTTGTCCATAAGTAATATTCTGAGTCCTGGAAAGATTGATTTTTGTATTTAGGAGGTCAAAGCCCTCACACAAGACATATAACATTACAAAATAAAAAGAGCAACAAAGAGGCAAAGGAAAAAATGTTTTCTTTATGTATTGATAATTAAATGGGATCAAAGATTTTATATGAAAATGAGTTTATATTACATTTCCACATACTATTAAGTTAGCATGAAAGTTTACCATTAAAATAAAATGTTACCTCTTCTATTACTGATTTGCTTATACATATCAGAATTGTGTTATTAAATATTTTAATATGTTTTTTCTGTTTTAATTAGCTTCATGTCAAGTTTAAATACTGTATTATTTGGAAGAATCTAGAACTATGTATTCGTTCTGCAAAAGAGACTCTGACTTAAAATGTCAGAATTTCATGTACCAAGATTACCTACTTGAAGGAGATATTGGTACAGTCCTAGAGTCCCATAAAATTCTCATTTAAAAAATAATACTGTAATACAAGGGAGTATATAAACTATATATTTTAGCCACAATTCAATTTAAGGGAAATATTTAGTACCCCTTAAAAACTCTCCTACTGCTTCACACTGATTCAAAGATTAAATTCTGAATTGTTAAAGTATAGGCATTAAGAATCACTTAGCTACCTAATAAGGACTGAGATTCTTAGGTGGTAGAAAAATCCTGCTGTGTTAAATTCTCAGTCACTTTAAATAGTACAGAAGTAATGAGCATAGGCTTCAGTCTATCTGCTAATAAGGTGCTGAGGCAAGCATATCCAAAGGCAAAAGAGGACAGAACCAGTTATTCCAAGGCAGCGTGATGCAGCCCTACAGAGTGTGAAAAAATTAAAATGGGACAAAGACTTGGACAATGCCATTAGGAAGCCTGAGAAAACAGTGCCACAAGGCCAGATCCTTTCCTATAGAAAATAAAAAAGATCTTCAGAACCAAAAGCAGCAAAAGTGGTCACCCGCCAGTGTGTGTGCCTTAGTGTGAGCAAACAAATCCTTCTCTCTTGTGCTCAGAGCAGTTTCATATCCCAGCTCAGAGATGCTGCCACGCTGGGCAATGCTTATACTCGCTCTGCTCCCCACTGGTGGATTTGATCATATATGTTCACGTTTTTCAAAGAGACCACCCAAAATTTAAGTTTGCAATAATTTAACATTTCTTAAACTAAGATCACTGATTTTTCAGACTTTATTAGAAATCTTTGGTTGCAGTGGGGCTTAACCTGGGCTCAGGTCTCCTAAATGAGAGCACACTTAGGCCGCCCTATTTCACTGTTTCATTAAGGTTAACTAAATGACACTTAGAGTTTCCCACAGAGGGACCTCACTGTGATGATCTCTACTCTAGGGAAACAGAGAATTTGGCAGGGAAACAGGAAAATACCAGTTAAGTAGCAATATTCCTTGTCTTTAAACTAGTAACGTTTGAGGGAAAGGACTCTTAGAACATCCTAAAGCTAGTCCGAGTGCAGCAGGGCTCAGCGAAGACACAGAAAGGCAGAGAAAGAGACCTCAGGAAGGGAAGGTTGAGAGGAGATAAAGGGCAATAACAAGCACCAATGTAAAATGACTCGAAGGCTAACAACCTTCCAAGGAATAAATGCAGTATCAGTAAGAGAAACTAATCCTCAAAATGGGGGCTAAGGGGCTTCCTGCTGCATGCTATTAAATATTACACGCCTCTCAAGTCTCTACAGCATTTTATTAAAGGGCACCGAATTAAATATTGCTTTGATTTTCTTTATGCTCCTTATAATCTCACAAGGTAGCCACTGTTGAATCCGAATTACCCTTGCTCTGTTTTTCTGTAAGGCTGCAGACACGATGGTGGTTCAGCCCACTGTAAGCAGTGGGAGGCTGAGCTATGGCACCCATATATCTAGGGTAGCCAGCACTGGAGGAAAATTGCTACGAATGCTCCTGTTTTTCATCTTATTAAAGAAAAAATATTTTGCAGATTTGTAACAGAAGGACAGATTTAGCTTCCCTCCTGTCAGCAAACTTGTAAGAACCCCAAAGCAAGAATATTTGGGATTCATTCTAAGAGACTCAAATCTTGAATTTCTAAACTATCTTCCCAAACATTATCATTGAGGCCACCAAGATGCAAGTGTTCTACAAAGTAATAAACCGTTCCAAGTGATCATAATGCCCCTGGTAGTGGAATTTTATGTTTCCCCACCTTAGCTTTACTCATTCGGGAAGCTTTTTACCATCTACCACGTCAAGTGCCATAAATGCTGCCGCGTGTTCATTTTCCCAGTATTTTTGACTTCTGGTTAGTATTTCCCTGTCTCATCTTCAGCTTCTCAATCTTTTGCTTTGCCAAAATAGAAAAGCCTTTATCATCATCAGCTTCTATTGAAAAATGTTATCATTGGCCTCAACCAAAGAGTTTCTCCCCAGGTGCTCAGGGGCCCCAGCCTTACAAGGGAGGCCGAGGCACCTGCTTGCCAAGGCTGGCTGCACACACGGTGTGCCAGGAGCCCCATGGTGGATGCACCTGAGAATACAAAGATGACCTGGTTGTAGTCCTTGATGTGGAAACAGGACAAATAGGTGTGTTAGATGAGTGGCTCTATCAGGAGAGGCTCTTGGGAGATTTTTTCAGGACAGCAAGTTACTGCGAGTAGGTGTGTCCAGGGAAGAAGCCTGTTGACTTGGCCAAGGAAGCTGATCAGGTGACCTCCCACACCCCACTGAAGAAATGTTGGACACTAATGATACTGCTCTGCCTTAACCCCCTGGACACACTCAGTCCTTCCATTCCACTCTTTTATACCAATAGTTTTTGTTATTTCCTCGTTATTCCTCTTGTTAGCAGATGTCTGGAAGTATTTCAACTGTGTAATGTTAAAGGGTTTCTTTCACAGCCTCAGAAAAGAGGGTGGCAACTATGAGCCTTAAGTTCAAAAGAAGCCAGTCTACCTAGATTTACAAACCCCAGAGCATCACTGTATCAAAACATCAGTTCTTCTCTACAGTTCCCCAAAGCTGTACCCTTCCTAAAAAGCCAAACATCACACCTTTTTCCTATTTGCTAAGAATGTCTTTAGTATCAGAATAAGCACATTTAAAATGCTATCCAAAGAAGATTCATATTAGATGATATATTAAAAGAAGCCACATTTTGAACTGTAACCAGACAATAGAAACACCACTGTACCCCTTTGTCGTCAGTTAAAACGCCCTTGCAAAATCTATGAACACTCAAGCAGTTCATCTTATCACAAGAGACCATACCTCATTTAGAAAACAGGACAGATATCAATGGGAAATGTCAATGTCCTAAGCAACAAAGGATAAATCTAAGAGGTCCATTAAAAAAGAAATCCCAATTCATAGATAGGAGCAGCAAAAATCTGGGTATGAAAAGAAGAAATCGTGAGTTCCAACTGTCAATATTAATAGTTTCTTCATGTAACTTCTGTCAAATAGTGCAACCTTGGAGTTTTCTTTTGAGTTACCTGAATAATCTTTATAAAGCAAAAAATTAAATTCCCTCCAGTAGGGGCTCAGGTCTCTAACTGCCCTGGATTTAAAGCCTTAGGAGCTAAAGAGAGGATCTGGAATCTGATATTACTGAGGTGTTAGGTAAAAGGGCCATCCTGGCAGTCTTTGTCAGCTCACTAATCCATGCTTTTAGTTTTTAAACCCAGAAGAAAATAAAAAAGCAAAACACGTAGGAATTCTTCTTTTACAAATAATTTGATGTGGAATAAATAAACTTACCTGCCTCCTCTTAAACAAATGCCAGACTGTTGCAAGCAAACGTGGAGGGCAAATTGTTCAGAGCCATGGTTGATACAACTTTGAATGTTTTCTCCTAACCCAAAGTACAGCAGTTCTTGCAAGACTATAGGGTGCTACAACAGAGGCCCAATCGCTTGTCAGTTTGAATTGCCTCACTTCAGGCACAATCAGAAGACCAATTCCAACAGAAGTGAACTTATTTGTCATAATTCCACCTTAGATTCTAGGCCTTTCATACAATACACAATATATACACGTTCTAATGGAATTCACTGTTTTTGGTTTTAGTGTCAAAGAGATTGGTTCCACAAGGTTCACTTGTTTTCCCTTAAGTGTATTTTATAATCCTGTGGTTCTAAATTCAATCCCAGATGTAGTATCAGAACATCACATCAAATCAAAATCAGAGACAAAGGGGAACTGGTAAGAAGGGATCTCAATTATTTCAAGTTCATGACCAAAGTGGCCGAAGACATGCTGACATGCCCTTTCACTTGCTGACATTCCACTTTACAAAATGTCAGGTATCCACTTCCATCCTGTGACATAGGCTCAACGTGGACCAATGGCCAGGAACATATTTCAATGGGCCTTTTCTGTTCATCATTCTCCTCCATAGAACATTGAGATTTCTCACTGAAACAGCTCCTTTACTCAGATATCTATAGATTTTATGATTAATTTATGCTTAAATGTATTAAATTTGGTGGCCTAATGCAGCAACTGAATATGGTGGTGGGGTCGGTACTATGAATTCTGCTGACTTTATGTTATGGTTTTTTTTGTATGTGTGTGTTTGTGGTTTTTTTTTGGTTTTGTCGGGCTTCTGGTGAGTGCCCTAAAAAGATTGCTCTAAAGTCATAGCCACACAACCACCACATAGGGAAAGGCCAGATAAATACAGGAGAATATTATCGAGTTGTCAGAGAACCAACCAAGCACAGCCCTTACTTCAGGAACCCAAGCAAACTGAAAGCAAAGACAGTGTACAAATGGTGCCCCTGCCAGTTGGCTGTGGGCCCACTAGCCTGAGGCACTGCGCCTTTTCCTGGCATAGGCCCATAGGGAGTGGTTGTGGAAATGTGATTTTTATGAGTTACTTCCTCTTCCTTTTTATAGAAAAGGAGTTTGAGATGATGGTGTGGGAGTGGGGTCCTCAGCCACCAAATGGTATAAATGTTCCACCTGCAAGCAGCATTTTGAGCAAAGTACTCCTGTGGTTTACAGAGTTTTCTTTTAGTGCCAATGTATGGTCCATTTAATGTCAGATTAAAGCACCTTTAATCTTTGTTGTTGTTTTAAAATAATATATTTGTGAAGTAGATAAAAGAAACACTGGAAATAGGGTGCCTCTTCTGGAAGGTTCGAGTGTAAAACATACAAACAAGGCTTTGGTGGGTTTATGTGGCTTTGTAAGCAAGTCTAAAAATAAGAGCTAAATAGATAAAGCTTTTAGTTGTCTATCTTTTATCATTTTTAACTCAGATCTGTATTTAACACTTATTTATTTGTTAGTTTTTACATTCAGAAGAAATACACTTTGAGCCTTGGCTAACATGATAGGATATTTTTAAATTGTTTTCTACATTTTAAGACATGATTTCATCATTTTTGTAAACTTAGACCATTTTTGAATAGCCTCCCTCTCTTTTCCCATAGACCAATTACCACTCATGGGTCTGCAGAACCTTTTACTGTATTCTTATAATAAATGTAAAATATTTGTAGCAAACTGTGCCTTGTCTTGTTTAATCTTTCCATCATGTTTATATTTCTCTTCCTTTTCCATATAAATATGCTCTGAGTAGAAGGGAAGGAAGGCGAGATTTCCATGGTAACTGGCCTCCTAGGGCTGTAACAGTGCATAAAAATTATTAGCTTTCAGTTTCTCTGTAATTAAGCTTATGAGGTCTGCTGATAATGGGTGTGTGTTGCTTACAGTCCAATCACTGCTTCTTCTGTTAAGAAATCAAAACTGAAATGAAGTTCAAGTCCTAGAGTTCTCTGTGTGGGTTGGCTGTTTGCCAGGTTTTTTTATGTCTTGGTTTTTGGGGTTTTTGTTTTACTTGTCATAACAGGATTTGTTTAGACATAACACAAAGATTTAGGGGGGAAAGGTGGCTGAGAGAGGTTTGGGCCAGAAGCTGAAGCCTGCTTCTCTAAAGCAGGGTGGGTGGGTGTCAGTGCCTGTCTCTTACCAGGGCTGAGCTGGTCCCTCAGCCGAGACATTTGACCCCATGTGCCCTTCAGTCAGCAGATCAGTAACCTTCCTAAAACTGCATGCTGTTATTTGCACGGGTTTGGGGTGACATATGCTTTCCCTCATTAAACCAAGGCCTGTTCTCATCCCTGATTCTGCATTAGAAGAGTCAACCTCCACTGCTTCTCAAAAACACGTTTACTGTTCACGGGGCAGCCCACAAGTTTCTAGGACAGGCAAAAGGAATCCATGCAATCCTCACTGACCTTCCTGCTTCTGCAGCACCCTGACCAGAGCTGTGTGCGTCCAGGCCCTTGGTGAATTCCCTTTCACCTCATAATCATCTGTCTGGAGTTGCATCCTCTTCTCCAGCAACTTTGATTTCTGACACAGCAACCCAGACAACCTCTGTGCTTTTACTGACTTCACTTAATTAGGACCAAGTGCATCCATCACCAGGGAAGGTTGGTTATCTAACTGAAATCCCATTCCTCAAGATGAACGAACAGCACCTCTGAGATGATCTTTCATCTTCTTCCATTACTTAAAGCCCTACACGTCACTGAGCATTCCCCCTCTAGCTGTTGATTTCTAGAGGCAGATGGTGGTGATGTTGCTTGCAAAAAACATGGATGTGAGAGCTAGTTTTTATTAAAAGCATTAATGGTTGCCCCTTCAATTAAAAACTGGGTCTAAATGAAGTGCTTTTTCAAACTCCCCAAGGCTAGTCCATGTGGAATGGCCAACAGTTAGGCCAGACTCTGGTGATTACACCCAGGTAAGGCTGATAGCTGCGGGTTCCAGAAGTATCTGATGTTAAAGCAGGCACCAGGCTGGGAGCCAGGAAACTCAGCTTCTCAGCCTTGATCTGACTCACTCTCGTTTTAAGCTTGAACAAAGCCATATCACTATCTAAGCCACAATTTTCTCACTTATAAAATGAGGTTGAACTACCACAGTTATTAACTTTTTACCTTTTCCTCCGTCTTTTAGAGGAAGGGGGCATGGCCTACTCCCCTTTCCTAAAAGCATCCTGATTTTCTCCAGGGGAATTTCCTCTCCAGTATTTGGTGTGGTCTTGATGGAAAAGTAATTCCAAGTACCCACCTCCCATTACAGCTGCCAAAGGATCTATATCCTTTATTTACCCAATTGGATCCTTTCTCCCAGGACTGAGTTTTGAAGGACAGGAGGAACAGCTAAGAGGGCATTCCTTAGAGCAGAGACCATTCCTCCAAGGAAAGTACTGCTGTAATTCCTTCTTCCCCACTCTCCAGAGCACTCTCTGTTTTTTCCATTCCCAAGCCTCATTTTCTAGCCTCCCACTGACGTTGGAACTCTAGATAGCATTCTGGCTAATTCCCTTTTACCTCAGCCACCCATAGTCCATTTCTGTTGTCTGCTGCCAAGAATCCTGACTGGTAGAATAACCTCTAAGACCCTTTCCGGCTGTGAGATTCTGTGATCTCCAAGCTTTCTTGGGGACATTTTGTTACACCTGAACGCCAGCGCTGTGCAGAGTGGGTTCTGTTCCTTTGCTTATTACAACATGGTTGGCAAAGTTCAAGAGTGATGAGAAAAGGAAAGCTCCCCAAAGGTTTCATCATTTAACCTGCTGCAGGTTATCCAAACTAAGTCTTTTACTGTTTCCCCAGCTCTGGACTTCAGTAATCCAAAATTATAAATGTTTCTTTTGCAGTCTCCCTGTGGTGACCAGTGGCACCATAGGATGGTTAAATGATAAGGTCAATGGGACTACACATTGTGAGGGACACAATTGATCACAGCAATATAAATGCCAAGAATTAACAGAAAAACAAATGTCACAGGAAGCTGAGATCCTGACAACCTTAAAATCTACCCTTTTCTGGCCTCTCCCTCCCACCTTGGTTCTAGTCCCTGTTCAGGAGGACCTTTCCCTCTTTCCCTCTCCTGCAAAAATACAAAAACAACCAAACAACACAACCCCAACCAAACATTTCCTTATAGACATGGGTAAAAGGCAATAAATAATTTAAACCTGTTGGGTTTTCATCCCAAGCTAGTTTTCCAAGCAGCCCCTGGAGGCCTTCCCTCTCTGCCTGCCGCTCTCTTCTTGTCCTCCTGCCAGATATGTCAAGGAATGACATGACACAGTAAGGCAGCATAGTGAGACCCTGCGGAGCACGCTCAGGACACGTGTGCCTTATGAAGGGAGCAAGCCAGGGGATGGAGGGTCTGCTCGCTGGTGTCCCATCCAGGCTCACTCACAGTCTTAAAGACTTGAAGTAGGGAAAACTGTCTCAGCCTAACTGTCTCTGGGTTTCTGGCCCCAAACCCAGAAAGTAGGCTTTTTCCTCCTCCAGGACTGCACACTTCATTAGTCACCCACGGAACACGAGTCACAGACGGGAACGTCTGGTCTGCTGTATTGCTTTTCCTCTCGACCACGTAAGGAGAGGGCGGCCATCCGCCCCAGCCAGATTAACCTGAAATTTCTTTTTGTATCAAACTAAATCCATCCTCTCCCTTCTGTGGCTCTAACGTCTAAAGCAGATAGATTTACACACCACTGCTCCTTCTTCACTTCCTGGCCCCTCCCATTCTTCCTTTACTTCTTCCTCGGGCCCCATCCTTCCTCATGGTCTGAAATGAGAGTCCTCTTATCGGTATAGCCCACAGCTCTTACCCCAAAGCAGCTGTTCCATGAATATAATCACTGGCCCATTTTAATGTGTATTCATTCCTCAGATGCTATTTTGGGAAGACCAGACATCATAAGATTAAGCAGGAGGGAAAAGAGGAAAATCAGAAATAAAATCTAATTGTAAAGGAAGGGGAAAGAAAGAAATCAAATATCTGAAATTTGTTAATTACTACAATTAGGCAATAAGTTTCACTGAATCTCTTACCAAAAAAAAAAAAAAAAAAAAAAAAAAAAAAAAAAAAAAAAAAAAGAATACTTATATTAGAAAATGAAAAAGGGCTGAAAATTCATGAACTAAACATTCAACTTAAAAAGGTCAGAAAAAAGTTATTCTAGGACTTTATGTATTTATTCTAAGACTAAATATGAAAGTCACAGCACTGGTTCTGTGTTCTCAACTGAGGTTGTGCCCCAGGGGACACCTGACAATGGCTGTAGACGCTTTTGGTTGTCACACTAGGGGTGCCACTGCCATCTGGTAGAAAGAAGACAGAGATGCTCTGCACAGCACAGGCCTCCACATTAAGGAATTATCTGGCCCCCAAATGTCAGCAGTACCATGGCTGAGAAACCCTGAGTCATGGGGCCCGACTGAATTTCCATCCAGGAACAGTGGAAGACTTTTCTTCAACTGGAAAAATCTTAAAGGAAGAGTGACAAAAAAAAAAAAAAAAAAAAAAAAACAATGAAAATGTCTTTAAACCTATTCTTCCTAAGTTGACATATTTGACTTACTGCTTACACAGTGAAACAATCTAGATGATCAAAAAAGCCAAGACTTGGTTCTTTAAAGCCATCCTCCGATAAGATTTACCAAGAAAAAAAGAATAAATCATATTAGGAATGAAAAAAGTACATATAAAAGACTATGGAAACGGCAGTGACTGGAAAAGTACTAAGTGAATACTATGAACTTTATGCTAATAAGTTTGAAAACTTAAGTAGAATTGAAAAATTCCTAGGAAAAAATATAAATTTACCAAAGCAAACTCAAAAAGAAATAGACACCCAGAATACGTCCATAACCATTAAAGAATTGAAATCGGTAGTCTAAAATCTTCCCAAAGCATTTATCCCAGGAAACTGAAGACTTATTTTCATGCAGAAAGCTGTTCACAAATTAAACTTTCTTCTTAATAGCCAGAAACTGGAAACTACCCAAATGTTCTTCAAGGTGAATTGTTAAGCAAACTGTGGTACACCCATACCATGAAATACTACCCAGCAATGAAAAGGGGTGAACTATGGATAACACACAACTTGGATGATCCTCAAGAAAATTATGCTGAGAAAAGCCAATCTCAAAGGGATGAATACTGCATGATTTAATTTACATAATACTCATGAAATAACAGGGATGGAGAGCTTATTAGTGATTGCCAGGAGCTAGAAATCGGGGAGAAAAGTTGGGGGAGGCTCTAACAGAGTAAGGTGAGGGAATCTGGAAATAATGAGAGAGTTCGGTATCATAGCGGTGGCTTCACAAGGCTACACCTGTGAAAAATTGCATACAGCTACACACAAAAACACATGAATGAATGGCTCCATACCCAGTGAAATCAGAATAAGTTCTATGGATGGTACTCATGTCAAATTCTTGGAGGTGGCTGGGGAAACATGCACAGGATTTCTCCGTACATTCCTTTGCAATCTTATAAATCTGTACTTATTTCAAAGTGAAAAGTTTAAAAATTAATATATAAAGAAACAAGAGGCCAGGTACGGTGGCTCATGCCTGTAATCCTAGCACTCTGGGAGGCCGAGGCGGGCGGATTGCTTGAGGTCAGGAGTTCGAAACCAGCCTGAGCAAGAGCGAGACCCTGTCTCAACTATAAACAGAA